TGCCCGATGGCGACCATCGAGTCTGGGAGTACCCAAGCGCACTTCGATCGCTTCCGACTCTGATCAACGTCTGTGCGGCTGATCGCATGCTCCCTCTGGCCCTTGCAAGGATGATATGATCATCGGCGCTGCACCACGCCGCCCCCCCCCCCCCCCCCTCGGGACCTCGAGTCCGAGGGACTCTCGGGCGGACCGAGGAATCGGAGGAGACATCGGGTGGTCGGTTGGCGCCTGGTCCACGCTGCGCGAGGAAAGCCAGAAGTCCAGGGAGGATCGGCCACCGAAGTCCTGGTGAAGTCTGGCGAGGATCGGGGAAGTCAATGGAGAGCCTGGGGAAGTCCAGGTAAGAAGGCTTGGGAAGCCCATGGCTGGAAAAATATGAACGTTGGCCAATTGCCCAGACTCGGCGCAATGTGTATGGAAGCACGGGGGAATCAGGAACCAGCCTTGCGTCTGCCAAGTCTCCACCTCTAGTCTTAGGTCAGGCATTTCCTACTACAGGCGGATTTTGAACGACAATCGGGGATGGACAGAACCCCCTTTAGTAAAACGTGGTTTAGTGAAAACGACCTCGGGCCCAAACCTGGCGGGCGCAGGCCTGGAAATTGACGGCCGCGGCGCCCTCTCGAGAACCGAAAACGGACAATTCACTAATCGACGTGTCAGGGTGGGGGCTCTGTCCACCCCCGAGACAAATAAGACATACCCCAAACAATAATCAAACCATATGTTAAAAAAAAACAAAAAAAAAATCGTCCCCATACTATTGTTTGACTATTTTTGGACATTCCTCCTGTAGAGCCGACTTCACTTGCTGGTCATGCATGGGCCCCGACGCCCAGGGGCATCGCTCCCGTCGAAGGCCAGAGCCCCTTGAGGAAGATCCGCTGGATGCACATGGGAGCGACGAGAAGAAGGGGTCCTGCGCCAGAGGACGGGGCGACCTTACAGTGGAGGCCAGTACACCAGACCTTCCGCGAGACACCCGGCCCTGAGATCCCAGGAAGTCCATGGATTTTTTTGGTGTGTGAACACCACGCCTTACACAGCAAAATCATCAAAACCCAAGAAAACCAGGGCACCCTGGAGGCAAGCAGGGTGTTTCTTGGCACGGGCCTCCACTGTAGAGGACGGGGCGACCTTACGCGGAGACTGCCCGGCACACCGCGTAGAGAAGAAGGCGCTTACGCGAAGCCTTACGCAGGCGGCTTACGTGCACGTGTCCGGGATGTCGACCCGTCGCCTTACGTTGTCTGCGTCTTCTCCGGGTTTGCTGGGTCCTGTCTTTCAATTCACTCCCTACACGGGCCCAGAGCTCAGATGCTGAGCAGACGCCACGCGAACTCCGAAGAGCTATCATCCCGCTGCAGGGGGCTTAGACGGGGTCCGGGGAGTATGAGAAGCCTTCTTCAAGGGCCGGATGGCTCCTCAGAGGCCTCCCGACTTCGAAGAAGGCCAGCTCCCGCCGCGCCTTCCCGTCCTGCACCTCACCAAGTTACGGCCCGCAGGACCGCATATGAGCAGCCTGTCCCCACCCGTCATAGCCACGCTCAGCTCCTTGACGAGCAGCCTGGGGAATCCAAAAGCTACCAGTACCGCTGCTCACCCGCCCTCTCCCAGGGTGCGCTGCGGCCAGAACTTCGGGGCGAATCCAGCGGTGGCGACGAGGGCCTCTCGGGAGTCGAAGAAGAGCAAAACGCCATTCACATTAACTTTTGGCGCTCCGCGCGGATTTCTTGGATCTGCGTTGGGGCCCCCTGCGGCGCCTCCGGCGCCGCCCCTGACGCGCCAGGGAGGGGGGTCCAGCGCAGATCGAAGAAATCCGAGCGGAACGCCAAAAGTTTATGTTTATGGCGTCATGTCTTCTTCTAAGCCCAAGTCGGGCGTTGGAAGAACTGGGTTTAGTAGGACCTGGTTTAGTGATGTATACTGGGGGACGCCCCCCCCCCCGCCCCGTTCCACTAACCGGAACTGCCGCCACCCGAAAAAAACACCAATTACGGCAGACCTAATTCAGATACTCTGGTTGATTCAAGGGCTCCAGGGCCCTACCACTAACCGGGTCCCCCTACCTGGGGTCGTGGCTATGCCCGACCAAGAGGGAGAAAACGATGGAAGGGTAGAGGTGCACGGGATGCCTCCTCCTCCTCATCCTCCACCTCCTCCTCCTCCTCCTCCTCCTACCCCCCCTCCTCCCCCCTCTGGGCCTGCGCGGCTCCCCCGGCGCCCAGAGCGTCAGGTCCTCGACCTGCAGCCAGAACGGCCCGCCCGGGGGCGCTGGGAGCAGCCGGCCCCCGGCGCCCGTCTCCGACTGCAGCTGCTGCAGGTCGCGGCGGCTGCGCTCGCTGTAGCGGTCCAGCTCCAGCGCCACGGTGGCCAGCCTTAGGCAAGCGCGGTCCTCTACTCAGAAAGGGGCCCAGGGACACACGAATAAATACACACAAATCCCAGGATGCCCCATGTTTTCATGCATTTTCTTGTTTCGGTTCGTCTTCCCCCCCACTTCCCATATTTTCCTATGTTTTCCTGGGAGCCGACGATTAATTGTGTCTGCGTGCTTTTTCCCGTCCTGAGACTCGCCAAGCAGCTGCTCGCAAATGGCCTGGATCCGCCCAGGGGAGTTTGCGATCAGTGGCATAGAGGCAGACGCTTGTTTTGAGGGCCGTTTGCGAGCATAATTAGGCACTTTGTGAGTAGTGGAACGCGCTCGGCGACGCCTGGAGAAGTCGCTGGTGTTCTCCGCGACAATCAGCAGGTGGTACAACACCTCATCGAACACCTCTCGGGCCTGGTTGACCGCAGCGATGTCCGTGCCTGCCCGGCGAACCACGCAAGAGAGTGACCCTGAACAAGGACGGCCTTGGTGCGCGGGTCCTCGGGGGCGGCCGGGAAGGCCAAATGCAAGCCATCCGACCGCGACCGCCAGTGCCGGCGGTACCCCTGTGGGCCTGGTCACTCTGGCGAGGGGTCACTCTTACAGTTAGGGGCCCGACCACAAGAAACCTTCCGCAAGAAACCCGACCCTGAGACCCCAGGGCTTCCATGGATTTTTGGTGTTGGAGCGTCACGCCTTCCATCGCAAAACCATCGAAACCCAAGAAACCCAGGGCACCCTGGAGGCAAGCAGGGTGTTTCTTGGCATGGGCCCCCACTGTACTTCGCGTAGCCGACCTCCGGCAGGTCGGCCCTCGTGATCGTGCCCGGCGCCGTGACCGTGGGCGTGACCGTGGCCGTGCCCGCCGTGGCCGTGCCCGTCGAGGAGGGCGGCGCCGCCGTCGTGGCCGCTGCTGGGTTGTGTTTGGGGGGTGCTGCGCCCCGCAAGCACGTACACTGGCAGCAGCCCTACGAACTGCCGGAACATGGTGCTGTAGGCCTGGACTTGGCTTCCGCGTGATTCTTTCGGAGACTCTGGGAGGCACATGCGGGCTGCGAAGACGGGCCTGTGGGGTCGCTGTGCGTGCGTGAGGAGGTGCACGTTGGCATCCTGTGTGCTGATGCGTTTGAGCGTGCCTGGGCGGGGTTCCAGTGGACGTGCAAGGTATGCATGTTCGTTCTGGTCAGGCCTGAACGAGTTTAGAGCGGTGGCGTCTTCAAAGAGACATGGAAGCCAAGCCTGGACGACGTCCTTGTTGGCAAGCCGCCGCCACTCCGTCTGCAGCCGCCTCGCCAGCTTCCGGAGCATGCCGCTGACCTCCTGGGCCTGCCCGCGGTAGAACGCGATGGATGATGGGCCTGTTTTCCACCACCACCACAAGTTGGAGGGGGGAAGGAGGTGGAGGCTGAGGAGGATAAAGAAGCAGAGAGGGAGGAGAACCCCCTCTCCCCTCGAACTTGTGGTGGTAGTGGAAAACAGGCCGATCAGTGGACTCCGCATTCTCGCGCACGCGCGTCAGCGAGTAGACGAAGTCGCTGTCCGCGCTGCGCTCCTCGTCGTAGAGGCGGACCAGCCGCCGGCCCAGCCAGGTGGTGAGGGCGGTGCCCAGCCCAGCGCCCACGAGCACGCCGCGGTTGAGCACCGGCGAGATGTCGCGGAGCACGCCAGAGAAGAAAGCCGCCACCATGACGTGCCACTGGAGTGCCCTCGGGCCCCGTCGCGCTCGAAGGGGCCCAAGCTCCCGAGGTCCGCGCGCTCTCGCGCGGTCTCGGAGATCCCCGCGCGACCCTCGTCGTCGTCGTCGTCGTCGTCGTCGTCGTCGTCGTCGTCGTCGTCGCTGCCCGACGGCGCCAGCGCCTGCGCTGGCGCTCGACGTCGTCGGTGGCACGGGGGGGGGAGGCGCGCCCGGTGGCAGAGGCCCCAGGGAGCGTTGTTAGGGCCCCTCCTCCTCCTCCTCCCTCCCTCCCTCCCTCCCTCCCTCCCTCCCTCCTCCGTGCTGGGCCTGTCCCCCTACATGGGGGATTTTCGACGAGAAATAACAAATACCCCGAAAATGCCCCAGAATTGCTAAAAATGCTCAAAAGATAGTCCCCAGACCATTTCTGGACATTTTTTGAATATCTTTGGGGTACTTTTTATTTTTCGTCGAAAAATCCCCCTGTGGGGGGACAGGCCCGACTTAATGTTAGGGCCGTGCTGGGCCTCTCTCTGGCACCTCTTGGGCCGTCTTCCAACTAACAGCGGGTCTGCCCTGTGGCAGAGCTCGTCAAACCCCCTCTCGTCTTTGGAAAGATCGGAGCGCACTCGGCATTCCTGTCTCAACAGCGTCCAGGACGGCACCGAGAAGCGGCCAGCATCGCCCCAAGACGGCCCCCGAGAAGCCCACAGTGCCCCAAGACGGCCCCCAAGATGGGAGCCAATACTCGCAGTTCGAGCCCTTTCCCCAAGATGGTCCTCAGGACACCCAGCGAACCCCCAAGCGGCCCTTACTACCAGACCTCCCGACCCAACCCGAAGTCTCAAACTTCGGGTTGACATGTTCTGGAACGTCCCCATACTGGGAATTGAGAGCAACATAGAGCTACGGATTGGGTGGGTGTGGCATGGTGAATAGTGACGAGGCATTCAGAGACCTCCCAGCACACGCACCCACGAGGCCCCAAAAGACCTCCCAGAGGCCCTAGAAGGCACGAATAGAGGCTTCCTGCTTTCCCAAGAGGCCCACCACGAGACCCAAGAAGCTTCTGAGAGCCCGTGTTCACGACCCAACAAAGTGGCGGGATGGACCGAAGGCCACTGGATCCGCTGCCCCTTGTGCATGTCTCAAAAGGCGCCTGGCGTGTCGGACCCGGCCATACCACTGGCACTTCCACAAACATTCAAAATCATCTCTGGCCCGACCCGCGGGCCACTGGGCAGAACCGGAATCCGTGGGCTGTTCCGTCCCATATGGTTCTAAGTGGGCCTTCAAGAGGGCACAGATCGCCATCAAGTCGGTCCAAGATGGTCCACGTTACAGTCAACGAATCTCAAGGTGCCTCCGAGAGGACCAAATCTTGCCCCCAGGCGGCCCAATGTGGCTCAAGACGGCCCAGGAAGCCCCCAAGCCCAGTGAAGCCTCGAGAGGCATGATCATGGATGTCCTGTTGGTGTTTCAGCTCCGTCAGACTACGTGTCGCCTTCCATTCTCGAGAACGTCCACGACGGCAGTAGAGTTAGGTCGGGCCTGTCCCCCTACAGGGGGATTTTGGGCGAAAAACTAAAAATACTCAGAACATACTCCACAAATGCTCGAACATAGAAAGAAACAAATCCCCTGACTATGTTTGACTATTTTTGAATATTCCCCCTGTAGGGGGACAGGCCCGACTTAACCGTAGAGACCTCAAGACCAACCCGAGACGGCCAGCACCAGATCTCAAGAGGACGCCAAGACGGCCCAATATGCGGCGCAGAGACGGCCCCCAAGACGGTCCAAAGGTGGCCGACGGCACCAGGCAGCTAAATGAAGGGGCCCTGGGACACACAAATAAATACACACCAATAAAAGCATTCTCCATATTTTCCCATATTGACGGGATGTTTGTCTTCCCCCCCACTTCCCATATTTTCCGACATTTTCCTGGAAGTGGACGATTCATTGTGTCTGTGTGTTTTTTCCCTGACTGAACAAAGCCGAGACCAGCACCGAGAAAGTATCGGATCCGCTGCCTTGTGAGCGTTTTCTGATCTGGCGTCTCGACATTGGGCGGAAGGGGGGGGAGGGGGGGGTATGGCTCCGGACCTCTGCTTCGTGCGGCTGTTTGCAGCAGTAATTCCTGGGGGGGGGACCCCACCTGCTGGAAGCAGGCGCCCAAAAACAAGCAAGATCGACACCGTGGGAGGAGGGGGAGGGAGGGGTGCGAGGGCCCGCGCCGATCGGCAAAACAATGAATAAAAAACGATCACCTTTGGATTCGTGTTTCGAGCTAGTTCGAGCCCGTCCTGGTTCACCGAATTGAAGGAGAAAAAATGAGCATCGCTTGAGAGGCCCGCCAACCAGGCCCTCCCGCAAGAGCCCACCAGCCAGCGACGAGCGCCAGAGTCCAGAACCTCCCCGAGAAGCCATGCGACGAGGGCTGAGGCAAGCCCAGGGCGACACATGCCAAGTGCTCTGGATTCCCAGCCCTCAGGCCTAGGCAGAGAGCCCAAGACGGCTCATCAAGAGGACCCGACGACGGCCGACGAGACTCCCAAGTCGCCGTTGAGAGCCTCGAGAGGGCCTCATGGAGCAGAGAGCCGTTCCAGACACCCCGGACGGGCCAAAAGCGCAGTAGGCAAGACGGCCATGCCGAGATGGCCCGAAAGAGAGAGCCAGGAGGTCCCAAGCGGCCCCAAGACGATGTCGAAACGCTTCCCAAGAGGCCCCAACCAGGCTCCACGCGACAGGCCCCGAAGAGGGCTCATGCCACACATGTTCCCCCACCGGCTCCCTGACATCTCTGGACACCCCCTGGCCACTGGCCGTGCGGCACTGACGCTCAATGGCGGAGGCTCGCTGGAGGCGTCTTGGATACAGGTGGATGCAGGCCTCGAGCCACTCCAGCGAGAGGCTCGTGCAGAGCTGCACGAACTTGCCCACGTCGTTAGCGATCCTCTGGTCGGGGTGCCGATCGGTGCGATCGCTCGCTGCGGTCCTGGCGCGCCCCTGGCAATCGCCGTAGCCCAGGCACTGCGCCTCCACAAAGGTCTCCAGGAAGTGGCCAGTCAGGTGCCGCTCCCACTGCTGCCGCAGGGCACGCATGCAGCGCCAGTACACCTTGCCGAAGGGGCTGAGGGCCGCCAGCGCGAGCGAGTATCTGGCCAGCCCGACGAGTATGCTAAGACGAGGCCAGGACGAGAATTCATTCGGGTGAGGGTGAATCGAGAATCTCTCAGGTCTGGCGGCTCTGGAGGATGTACCGGACGCGCCGCGGCCTCCCCAGAGCATTCCAGAGCGCGCCGAGAGCGCCCCGGAACGCTCTGGAGTCGGGAGCGCTCTGGAACGGATCTACCCTCTGTCCTGGCCCCGTCCTGTATGCCGCGCCTGTCCGTGCCCCCTGCCCTCATGAGGGGCAACGATAGGGGGGGACTGGCATAGGGGGGGATGCATCGACCTGGAATCGGCGATACGTCGCCGATAGATCGGCGACAGGCCCCCATAGTGCATCCGCACCTTCCTGGGCAGGTTGGGGCCATCGGGCCCCTATCGGCGATCAATGGGCGATTGCGTGTCGATGCACCCCCTCCTATGCCTATCCCCCCCTATCTAGACGAGCACGTTCCACTACTCGCAAAGTGACGACTCGCAAATGGCCTGGATCCTCTGGGGGGGATCTGCGAGACATTACGCCGAATCAGACACACATGTGCTCTTCGGGCCTTTGCGAGTAGGCACTCTGCGAGTATAGTGAAACGCGCCCGCTCACTGCCGTTGCCCCTGACCTCAGCATGGTCTCCACCTGCCGCCGCTTCTCCGCCGACAGCCACGCCCTGGCCCGGCCCCTCAGGAGCTGCGCCCGGGGCTGCCCCGAGGGGGGTGGCCCTGCGGCCCCACGGCCGGAGGCCCCTCACAGAGCTGGCGCCCGCGCCGCTGCGGCCTCGAGCACCGCGCCGCTGCGGCCGGAGCAGCGCCGGAGCAGCGCCGATATCGATCGCCGAAGCATCGCAGCGTAGACGTCGGCGATGCATCGGCGATGCATCGGCGGCGTCGGCGCGGAGAGGGTCGGGCGCCGCATCCAGCCGCCCCGCGGGCACGTCGGCGGGCGCGGCGCGACCCTCCGAGCCCGTCTGCTCGGACCCCATGCCGGCGGACCGGCCGGGCGGCCTCCAGGCTCTCTCGCCAGGCTCGGGTCGCCGGGGGCCCTCTCGCTCGCCGTCGCTCGGGCGCCCCAGAATCGCCCGCTGCACTTCGATCGCTCTCGCGCGCGCCGCCTTCGTCTGTCCGCAGGGCGCACGACGGCGTGCTCTCCGAGGGCCCCCGCCGAAGAAGCACACAGACTGCACACGCCCGAGCGATGCCGAGGCCACGGGTCGCGGGCCAGGTGGCGGGCCAGGTCGTGGGCCAGGTCGCGGGTGGGTCGCGGGTGGGCCGCGGGTGGGCCGCGGGCCAGGTCGCGGGCCGGGTCGCGGGGGGGATGGCGACAACAAACAACAGCAACAACAACAATAATTTTGTTCGTTCTGATCTGCTCGCGGGCCATTCAACACGTATATCCCAAACCCTCGATACCCACCCTTTTCGTCTTCGATCGTATTCCTTTGGGGGTATATATTTCTCTTACTTGCAAATTGTATTTCGCGCAGCCCCTGAGAAAGGGGGAGATAGGACGGAGGGAGGAGGATAGAGCACGAGAGAGAGTAGCAAGAGGGGGACTCGGAGCAGAAAACACGTGGCAGAACCGGACGGGCAGATCGGGCGGGTAGACTCTAACGGGCGGGTCGGGAAGGCGGGCCCAAGCGGCCAGGTCGAGCAGGCGGGTTGCTGAAGCGTGGGCCGTGCATGAGTCGCGAGGAAGTCTCGAGCGATAGCGCGATTCCCAAGTAAATCGTGAGAAAAGCCAGAACGAGAGCGTGATTCATGAGCGCCGAGGGCGCATCGTCTGAATAACTTGCGAGGTCCCACGCGAGAGCGCGATTCCTGTATAAATGTGAGGACATCCCGGGCGAGAGCGCGATTTGGGAATCAATTGTGGGGACGTATTAGGCGGGAACCGGTGTTGTTCTCCCCTGGTATTATATAAAAAAGAGTGCGAGTTCAGGGAGCAGCACTTAGTTCGAAACGTTTCAATGGTTACCAGGCTGAGGGGGATCAACAACAAATTGTATGTGGGCATGAGAACTCAACAACAAGAACAACAACAAGCACAGCAACAACACTCAGTTTAAGACTCATCGCTCCTATCTGCTCACGTGCCAATCAATACGGCTATCCCAAACCCTCGGTTCCCGCCGTCGTCGTCACACGCTCATTTAGTGCAACCCGTAAAACAAGGGACGAGAGGACGGGTGGAAAGGGGGAGGGAGAAGAATGGAACACGAGAGAAATTAGCAGGAGGGGGGCAAGGAACAGAAAACAAAAGGTAGAACCAAACGGGCAGATCGGGTGGGCAGACCCATAACGGGCAGATCGGGAAAGGGGGGCCCAGGCGACCAGGTCGAGGAGGCGGGTTGCTGAAGCGTGGGCCCTGCATAAATCGCGAGGGAGTCTCGAGCGATAGCGCGATTCCCAAGTAAATCTTGGGCAAAGCCAGAACGAGAGCGGATTCATGAGCGCCGAGGGCGCATCGTCTGAATAACTTGCGAGGAAGTCCCACGCGAGAGCGCGATTCGTGTGCAATTTGTGGGGAAGTCCCGCGCGAAAGCGCGATTTGGGAATCCGCCGACCCTGTCGGCGCGTGGAAGACGCATCCCGGTGTCGTCGTCTTGCGTGGATCACCGTCGTCGTCGTCGTCGTCGTCGTCGTCGTCGTCGTCGTCGTCGCCGTCGTCGTCGTCGTCGTCGTCGTCGTCGTCGTCGTCGTCGTCGTCGTCGTCGTCGTCGTCGTCGTCGTCGTCGTCGTCGTCGTCGTGGCGAAGCCCCTCCCTACCCTCCCCACCAGGGGGGTTGGGGGGGGGGGGGGGGGGGGGGGGGGGGCGGGGGGGGGGGCAGATACGCATCCCCCCGGGCGACCTTATCCCTCCCTCGCCCCCTCCCCGTCCCCCTCCTCTTCTTCCTCCTCCTCCTCCTCCTCCTCCTCCTCCTC